TTCTATTCCTGGTCTGAGGCTTGCTGTCCTTTGGCCTCTGTGGGCCTCGGTCAAGGAGGGTGGGGTGTTGCCCCCTCCCTACAGCTGCCTTCTCCCCTTCCTCTTCTCCTCCTGATTTCTTTGTTGGGCTGTGCACGTGGCTTTGGTTCTGCAGTACTGTTTAAAGTATACACACACTCTGTTTTTCCTCATTCCTGTGCTTTTTGTTTTTGGGAAAGTTTTCTTAGACTTGGTGATGCAGTTTTCTTTTATTTGCAAAAGTTCTGATTAAGTATGTTTTGTTTCCTTCACTCGTTCATTTTGACTCTGATGTATTTGGATAAACCGTTTATTTAATGTGCAACTCAAAATGTTGTCCCCTAGAGGGCAGCACATCACAACTGAGGGTACTTCACATCCTCCTGTGTTGATGGGGTGGTGAGGAGATCGATGTACAAATAATGTACAAGTACTGAGGTTTTTTAAAATAAAACTATATTTCAAGTTTGTGTCCAGAATACAAAACTATCAATATTCAGAGGCAAAAATCAAACAACAGAACATCATCAAACATTTATACTGTAAAGTGTTATTAGGAACAATAAAACAGGAGCTCCATCTTCCAATGATCTTTCCAGCAGATCAGCCCAAAGATCCAGGTTCATTTATCTGATCCACTCAATACACATTTTCTATGATAAGATAACTCTTTATTGTCATTGCACAGTCATACCTCGTACAATAGTGCAACAACATTGGAAATGTAAAGTAGATTACAGTGTTTTTGTTGTTGTAGTTTTTGTTTGTTTTTATATTTGCAGGTAAGCTAGCATAAGCTAATCTTATCAACAACAAAAAAAAGCCTGCACTGTTCCAAAAAAATAGTAATGTCAAAGTATCTTACTGTATATTTTACAGTTTTGTACTGTCTTTCTAGAATATCATTAAATTTACATAGTAGATTTACAAAGTAGACTGTGATTTTACATGTCATATTTAGATTGTAAAAATACATTCACAAATGTATCATACTTT